ACAACTTACATCAGGAAACGACCTGGTGTCGATGGAACTTCGGTGTTTTTTCTCTTGTTTTATTAGGAAAACAAAAAATGAGCAGAAGTCCCAATAACTTCAGTGTTCCCTCTGTCTGTGTGTGTGTGAGTGAGTGCATGCGTGCATGCATGTGTGTATGTGTGTGTGTGTGTGTGTGAGAGACAGTACTCAGGCTTGTACCGTGCCCCACGGTCCCATTACAACTGTGTGCGTGCCAGCAGAGCTCTCTCCTCCTCCTCTCCTCTCTCGACTTCTATTTTTGCCCTGTTCTTATGTAAGCCGCTGCTATCGCGCTGGAGACAGAGGCAGAGTTCGGCGCTGGGATGGTGAGAGCATCCCTAGCGGACACACGCATACACTCACCTGCACACACACACACACACACACACACACACACACACATATGTATACACACATTGAACAAATCATGAAGTGACTCCCCGCTTGCCGCTGGATGGTGACACAACACATACAGAGGCAATTTAAAATCCAAACGTGTGTGCCTCAGCAGAATTGATGTGCCTTACTGCACGTGACGCATCACGAAGATAATCACAGCGCCGCTTCCCAGAAGTGAAAACACGTCTCGTACTTTTCACACACATGAGGGAGGAACATATTCTGCAAACATTAGTTGAGACCCTGAAGTGAAAGCAGCTTTAGTTTCAGTTTTATCCACATGGCGACGCGCCCCCTAACATGATCACTTCACGGTCCCGGGCACGCTGTCAGACCACTGTGACTCTGGACCTTCACCGTTTATTTTTAGCTGCATGTAAACATGATGAGTGATGCTCGCCTTGCTGTTTCCAGACGAGTCGGTCCGCTTGCGATTTAAACCGGATTCTGGATTAACAGAGGCTTCTGTTGCTGGGAGTGTTGGGATGTAAACAAATAAGAGATCGAAAACAAAAAATAATAAACATTATTATTTGATGCATTGGTGCATGTGATGATTTGATTTAGCATAAATCAGCCAAACGTTGAGTCTACCGTTGATTTTGTTTTTCTTCGCACTTTTTTTCTTTCGTTTTGATTCAAAATTTGAAGAGAAACTTTCACTGTAAACTCCGTCAGCGACACAGATTTGTCCCTAAAAGCACAAAACAGCTTTTTATAAAACTAAATTAGAAACTATAAAAACTCCCCCACAGTCAAATAGGCCCTACCCCTCCAAACAGGCACACGCTGCACACACACGTGCCACAATCTCCATAAATTAGGGCCGTCAGCGCGTGTGAGGGTGTAATAACTGACACCTGGTAATGAGCACGCCGTCATCAGCCAACCGCACAACAGGAATAAGGTTGGAGTCAGAAGTGTGGGGGGTAGCTGGGGCCAGAGGTCAGAGGTCAAGGTTCCCTCCTGAGGGGGGCTTTGCTTTGAGAGGGCAGAGGCAGCCCTAACATTGAGGGATGGGGCGACACAGGGGAATACGGGGGGACCCCTACAGGGAATTGGCGTGTGTCGCAGCCAGCTGGGGTTAAGATATTATATGAAGGAATATTCATGCTCATTTCAGCTGTCGGGAGAGAAATTACCGCCAGATGGAAGACAGCTTGATTTATCTCCGTTTGATCCCAGAAAAACAAAAATTTTACAATTGATGAAATGGAGGCCAATTCTGAAACTTGCATTACTTCTCAGTACGACTCCAGCAGCGCCAACTTCAAAGAGCGATGGTGCACGTACGTGTAGACGCTATCAAGCGAGGGCAGCTGCGTCGGCCATGTTGGCAGGTTTTTTGTGAGTCTATCGGAGTATGCTCATGTTCTCTGTTCACTGACGCAGCATCAGCAGCCCACACCATAAATACTGCATGGCCTCAAAAAACAGAGAGGATGAGAGCCATGAGGGACGAGGAAGTACAGGCGAGGAAAAAAAAAAGAAGAAGAGATGAGGAGGAAACAATGAAAGGAGGATGGGAAAGCCTTGGTTGTTAAGATGAAGGGCGGCAAAGATGGGTGGGGGGTTGGAGAAGGAGATGGGGGAGGGGGGTGAGGAGCAGGAGGAGATGGTGACTAAGAGATAAAAGAGGAGCAAGTGAATGTGAGTGTGTTTTATGTGATGAGCGGATGGCCTCGGGGAGCGGTCGACTCAGTGCGCGGCGCTGCGGATGTGCTGACGGGCTCCGGGCCGTTTGCTCACTCCCTTGCCCCTTCGCTGTGTTTCACTGCAAAGAAGACAAGGGTGGAGGTGTTGGTGGTGGTGGTGGTGGTGGGGGGGGGGGGGTGCAGGTGGAATCTGTAAACATCAAGAGGGCACAAACAATGAGTAGCAGAGGACAGGGAGAGATATTTCAGAGAAGGGTGAAGTGTTTGTGTTTAAATTAGTCTGAAAAGGTGACAGAGATGAAAAAGAGAGGTGGAGTGAAGCCACATAAGGTCGAGAGTTAAGGAACCGTGAAGGGAACAGGGCCTGCAGGCCTCTGCAGTCCCGTCCACTGTGTTCTTGGTTCTAACTTCATAAATAAGCTATTAGTTAGCATTATGAGCTCTCCTACACGATGTGAAACCAACAAGATACTCATGGCGAAGTGCGTAACGGTGCAGGAACATGCCTTTGGATTTCCACTCTGAACATTCTTTATCAAATGATCGTTGCAGCCCTGACAGAACAGAACCGCTGTGACCCCGCTGACATGCACATGCCACCTCGGTGACAGTTGGCCTGCGCCGGAGCCTTCTGCACGCACCTGTGTGCAGAAACGCTGCTGAGAGCCTGTCAAAACACAGACATAAGAAACTTATGATATGGAAGCATGTTGAAGAGAGCGGGGGGTTTATGCAACATCCCAGGGAAGCCAGCGGATTGAGACTAGAGTTGCTGAATATGGAAAGAGGGCACACAGCAAAGGCTGCTGGGAGTTTCTGATTGGCTCCTAATGTTGCTATCCAGCTCGGGATTGGCTGATCCGACGCAGCCGACATCACGTTGTCGGGACTAAACCCCTTTGAACTAAGGCAAAGCAGGCAAGCAAAGATATCAAAACGCATACTCCCACACGTATATGCATGCAAACATTAACACACACACACACATATGCACGCATCAGGGTACCTGTGCACAGTTCCACTCACATGCCAGCACAGAGCATTAAATAAACCTGGGTGTTGAGAGATGTCATGAGAAAACAGAATTCCTAATGCTCCTGGGCTCACGTCCGTGTAGCATCTCCGATTAATCTGTGCAGGTCGAGGTCGAAAGAGTGAACTTCCTTAATTTTGCCATTCTCTTTTAAGCCCGGCTCTAAGGTGGACAGAATAAATTGGAGCTTAAGCATGCATGAAGGCACAGCCAGCGGGCCGCTTTCCACCGCTACACGCTACATTTGTCAAATCAGAAGTTTCTGCTACACGTGAACCCCCCCAGAAGGCAAGATTTCCATTTAAGTCACGCACAGGGAGCAACATTTCTGTAGGAGAAAACATATATGTAGATCTGAGTTAGTGGTGATTTTAAAACATGTCGCCTGATTTTTACTGTGGCAAAAACACAGATATATAAATAAAGCAGAGAGCATAGACAACAAGCTGCATGCTATTAATAAAACATGAGATGAGACACGGCAGCGAGTCCGGGGAAACGTATGACCACTCTTTTGGCCTCACTGCCTTCGCCCCGCGGCGTGTCGACTCAACTCTGACTGCAACTTTGCTCGTAGGAAGACGCGTCTGCACTCGGCGGCCGCGGAAAACCGACTAATCTCTTCCAGTCGCAAGAAAAAGGTTCTTCTTCTGCATCTTCTCGCAGAGAAACTCCGACTTAACAGTGGGTAAGTCAGTATTTGCAGAAACACGGCTGATTATTGAGGCGTATTTCAGTCTATCGCTGTGTGACAGATACAAAAGGGATGATGGGATTGTTACAGCAAACGCCACAGATTTGTGTGTGTGTGTGTGTGTGTGCATTTTATGACTGAAGGTCGGGCATATCAATCTTTTATATCTCGTCCCAACTTGTCATGCCCCTCCTTACATTCAGTCTGAGTGAGCAGAGTACCACTTTGCCTGTTCACACACACACACACACACACACACACACACACACACACACACACACACACACACACACACACCCTCCATGTGTCCTCCTGATGCATTAACGTTCTTACATCACCTCCTCCGGTGAGCGCAGTAAACAGGAGAGCAGCAGACGTGAAGAGATGGGTTTTAGGGGAAGGTTCGGTCGACGCTCTGCATGTATGAGTAGGAGGTAAATATGCTGCATGCTTCAGAATAATGCAGGCATGTGCATCACAAGCAACATGCTGACACTAATTTGATTAAATATAGGAAAGTTTTTGAAAACATCACTTGTTTCATTTGATTTAAAATTCAAAGAGCAGCAAAGAGTTTTACTGTCGTCTCAAAACTGTTTCAGAGAAGTTCTTGCTCCATCTTCTGCTTTTCCAGATCCAGGTCATGGAGGGGCTAAATCCCAGACCATCATCCTCACAGCCAACACATTCAGTTCCTCTGGTGGGATCCCAAAGCCTAGACATTCCTGCAGGATTTGACCCCTGGCTGCACCGGAAGAGCTTTATTTTGCTGTTGCTGGTGATGTTTACACTTGTGAATAGCTGTAAAGTCGTATTGATGGTGGCATAAAGGTTTATAAAATATGTCTTTAATCCCTTAAAGTAAAAAAAAATATTGCTAAAAAAATCTACTTTATAGTCATTCAGGCATAAAAGAGACGTCTGGCTCGTTCTGGATAAAGTGCGTGCCACGAGCGTGCTCGGCCACACTTTTTCACAACTGGGGCTTGAACATGCACCACACTGGTGCGCACCTCCATGGATGGCTGGGTCTCAGACACATTAACACTGTCTGGCATTGACTTCCGCCCATGAGACCTTCCCCCCACCACAGCAAGCGCAGGCACATGCCTGGGCATCCTCCTTCTGCTCTAATACACTTTGTGGCCCTTTGGGATGGGCCTTTATCTGAAGGTAGGTTTGTATGCAAGCACGTTACCTTGTGTAGGATCGTGGTTCTCCCAAAAGCGTCCAAGCAGCTCCTCGAGGCTGATGTCCTGAGGGAAGAAGACCACCCTCACCACCTCGGTGTGGCCCGTCAGACCTGAGGAAAGAATCACACAGTCGGACTTCCTCTTCCCAGAGACACAACTCCACCATCAACATCCTGTTTCAAATGCAAAAAGAAGGGAATAACATCTATGTGAGAGGTGTCACTGAGTTCAACGTGCCACAGGTAGAAAACATTCAGGTTAAATTCTCCATGAGCTATGTTATTGCTCATGGCACCAGAGAGTGAAAGAAGGCACAGTCAAAGATGGAGCTTATGGTGGAAGTTGCCAAAAGCTCACAGACGCTCGCTCTCGTTTGCAGCTGCCAGAATACAGAAGCTTCAGCAAGCTGCCTGCAGGCATTAACAAACTGAAGGCTGCTTTAAGGCTCACGTGCACTGTATGTACAAGAGCACCGGAGCGCACACCCACTGCAAAAAAAAAAAGGGTATTTCATCATAAACGTATATCTTTTCACATAAAAAAGGAGGAATTGGGTTTGAGATTGCTTCAGTTGGAGTCATGCATGAGTGTGTGCACGGGTGTGGGTAGTGACACACTCACCGCTGCATTGTTCGATGTGGGGGCGCTACTAAAATGGCTGTGTGTAAATATATAATAGCAGTTTACTGAAAACATTCAGTTGTAGACTGGCAGGAAGCAGAGAAATCAGCATGAGCAGAAAACCGGAGCAAAGGGGAAAAGGGGGCTGCGTGGCACGAAGCTTGTCCCACATGAGAGGGGGTGAAAGGCTGAGAAAGACACCACTAAAGCGGCAAGAGTTGTTGGTGTTTGGCTGAAGGACCCTTCAGCAAAGGTGAATGGTGTTCATTCTGCTGCCCTTTTTGTCCAAACAGAAATGAGTGCCGCGGCGCCAATTAAATTGCTTAAAACGACTTTATTAAAACTTTTCCAGCAAACGCATCCTCATTAGTATTTATTTCTTTTGTTTTAAGAGGTTTTAATGAGGCAATGTGTAGTTTTTACCATTAATTTCTGGAAATATCCATCAAATGTTGTTGAAAACGAGTGAAATGATGCCCAGTTGTTGAAAAATATTGGCGACTTTGTAACATATAACCATAAAAGTCAGGTCTAAAATACACAGGGGCGGGTCCAAGTCTATGGGCGACGCCATATTAGACGCCATGTTTCCTTCTACGGGAGCCAATGAGGGCAAAATGCATTTACTGATTTGTAACAAATGGTTACAAAACTTTCGTCATTCTTTAATGTTGTTTTACACATTTACCTCTTCACTTGTTGCCAGTGATGACAGGGAGTCTGATGTTTTTGTTATTTTGCTAAAGTTTGCACTCCCCGGGGCTTTTTGACCCTAATGGGCATCTGTTGGGAAGGTCTTACTCCAAAACAAAAATTGTGCTTGCTTGCAACGATTTAGGTATCTACTGCCCCCCATCGCCAGGGAAAATACACACTGTCACTTTAAAGAATCTTTATGATGCTATTTTACATCTTCCAGAGCAACGATGCGCACAATATATGATGAAATGTTACTGTTGGCACTAATGAGTTGTCATTTTTTATTAGATATAAGTTATTTTTGTGACTCATCACTTCTGCCCGGAAATAAGATGCTTTGATTTGATGAAGCCCCGCCTCCCCCATGTGAATTCCACAATAGTTCACAGGTGCAGATGTGGATCCAGTCCCTCTCACAGACAAAAATTCATTTTTGGCTTCTACACATTATTTAAAGTGCAGATTAGATTTAAAAAAATCTATTTTTCACAACTGTGGAGGTTAAAATCCCTGCTAGCTACAGAGAGACAGGGTGTTCGTGTTTACAGTCCAGAAGAGATGGGATCTGGACTAGAGAGTGCCTGAATGGGCAGGTCGTGATGAAACATCAACAACCCCATCCAAGTGTCTGCAGCTACTGGGGAGACAGTGGGTCATCTGTAGCTGAGACAGGAATATGAATGCATGAAGCCAAAAACCAACGTGGTCAAAAGCTCTAAAAAGTAGATTTTGCTTGATTTAGGACCTTTAATGTTCATGCGTGCACTCCAAAAAGACACAACTGGAGCACGAGGAACATGTAAATCACTAATGCTAAAATGACCACTCGTGCAGGGACCTGAAACATGCAGTCAAAAATCTGTGATGTTTTTTTTCTTTTTGGGAGTGGATTTAAAGAATCTGCAAATATCTCAAACATGTTTGAACTGTAAATCAGATAAATCAGATGAGACAAACGAACTTGATATAACGCAGTGTTTGTTTGTTTTCCCTCTCAGTATTCTTGTTTCCACCAAGGACAAATTTTACGGCACCTCGACCTCTCATTTCTGTCCGTCAGGCCATCCGCCTAACCGCCTGTCCTTCCAACCTTCCCCGTCTCGTTTGACAGTTCCATCAACCTTCTCTCTCTGTCCGTTCTGCCTTGGCTGTGCTGACAGCTCCTCGGTCTCACGCCGTCGCAGTGTTCTGCTCCGTCATGGCCACTGGAGCGACTCCTGCACTCACTCAGCCGATGCACAAAACCACACTTTTTTTTCCCCTCAACTGTTATCTCTCTTAAAAGTTTATTTGACCCATTTCTTTCCTCTTCTTCTATTGTTTCTTCATCCCTACACACCTGACCATCTTGTTTTTAGGGTGGGTGGGTGTTGATGGAAACAGAAACACGGACAGGAAGCCGGCTGATGGAATTCATGTGAAGGGCTCTGCTCAGAAAATCTGCCAGCCGATCCCAAAGGATCCGCTCTCCCATGCTGTCTGTTCCTGGTCTCTCAACCCCCACCCTGGAGAGGTGGAGAAGTCTCGAACTAACAGCTCATGACTCCTACAACACAAGAGATGGACACACAGCCAGACACCGCCATCTGAAATATAAATCCACTCCCTCAATAAATCTATTTGATTGCTGTAATGCGAAAATTGGAAGGGGAAAAGTGGTCAAACATTTTCTGCATCTCAGACAAACAGAATCTGAGTTGGGAGCATCGCTTTCAGCCAAATCAGATTCTCTGGGAAAGAAGCCCATTTATGGCGCCTTAGACTTGGTAACCTCTGTTGGTAAAAACGCCGCAATACAGCACAGCAGAGAGCAAAATCCCTACAAGTAGGTCATGTGGGGGTGGGGATGCAGGGGGTGCAGCCCATCTGGAGCAGCGCATTCTGAGTAGTTGACTGCAGATGAAGGGAAGAACCGAGATGAGAGTGCTGTATTTAAAACAATCCTTTGCTGCATCTCTTTCGTCATCCTCATCATGATTCGTCTCTTGAACCTTGACTTGTCGCCCCATCAAAAGTCTGTCACCCAGCCTGCCTTCCTCACGTGAAGGTAGTGTGATCCGTTAACCTGAATCAAAGAGTCTGGGGTGTAAATATGCAAAAATGTGCAAAGGGAAATACCTGAGCAGACCTCTTCATAGGTGGGGTTGGGTGTGAATCCACCGGCATAGCCCACTTGTGTGGAGAAGACCCCTGGGAGCCTCCAGAAGAGTCTCTCAGCTCCCCAGAAGCAGCCCATTCCTGGACAAAAGCAGGGAAACAAACGCACAAGGAAGGCTGTGGAAACGGATATGTCTTCTTTCCGATGAAAAAAAAATCCCATTTTCACAAAAAAGAAGTTTTTAAAACCAACGTTTCATTAATTAAAGGAAATAAGTTGCGCGAACACACCTGGCTCCATGGGAAAAAGCCCTTCCTCCTGGTTAAATCATTAATTAACTGTGATTAAACTCATTATTTGGAAAGCTGAGTTCTGAGAGTTGCTTCAGTAGAACATGTCTAACATTATGAAGTAGGCTAAACGATCTCAAAAAGCATCGTGCCCCACTGTATGGGACTTAAAGGAGAAAACCACTTGTTTAATCAATACTTTATCAGTGGTCTATAGTAGGAACAAATGCCTCGTAATTCGTTCTCTGATGTGGATATTTTATCTCCACAAATAACACAAGCCTGAAGGAGCTCTTCTGTGGGTTGGTGTTGCTAATGCTAACGGTTAGCTTCTACTAGCAGAGATGTCCGCTGCCGACTGCCGGACAATAAACCAACAGCAGCCTTCTCCTTCATGAGTCAAGATGGGTGAGTCCGTTAATGTTAGGTCACAATGTGACGTAGATCTGTCAGGCTGTTCAAATCCTAGAGTTTCACCATCTATTTTCTATCAAAAGCTAATGCGAGAGGTAGGTGTAGAAGACCATTTTCATGTTCAGCCTGATGAAAGACTCAGAGTGACTGATTACATTAGGAAATAATAATTAAAAAATGGGTTGTCAGTGAACCACACCTTTATAAACAAATGAACCCAGAGCAACATATAAAGCACGGTGGTGGTAGTGTGATGGTCTGGACTGTTCAAGGACCTGGAAAACTTGATGTAATTAATGTAACCACAAAATCTCTACGGTAGAATCCTAAAAAAGAAGGTCTGACCTTTGACCTTGAACAGGACATTTATTTCCTCACACGCGACCAGTTTGGTTTGAGCAACTAAATAAATGGCATCTTCCTTTGATATGCAAATGTATTAACTGATATCAAACATGTCAACATTTCTTATTATGACAAAATAAAATGTGATTCTGCCATCTCACCAAATACAATGGTTTCCGTTCCATCTGGAAAAGGCTCCACGGTGGGATTCCCATTCACCACATGCTTGTCTGTGAATGGAAACGGTGAAGAAATGTGCAATGAGATCATCCATCGGTGATCCAATGATACAAGTTACAGTGTGAGTTCAGAGGCCTGTAAGTAGGTTCAAGTCAGGAACAGCGGGCCTCGTTTTGTTGCCGGTTGACCCAGCGGATCAGAGCGAGAGGCCTCCATGCAGGAAGACATTTAAGGGATTACACAGCTTTGACAGCCACTCTGCTTCTTACTCAATGCCCGCAGTTAAATCCATTGAAGTACAGATCATGTTTGGGTATCTCCTAGCCTCAACTGGGTCTCCTACATCCAAACACTCAACACATTTGTTGATTAGTATAAACACCCAACGCTGCCCTAATGATTATGATCAAACAAAATGGAGCATGGAAAGGTGGCTCTGTAAGTCCTACTCTGATGTGTGGAATTAGAGTGCTTAAGAGTGTGTGTGTGCGCACGCGCATGCGTGTTGCTCAGATATGTCAGAAGGATTAAGGTTTAAGAAGCCAGAGGTGACTTAACGTGCAAATCTCCACTAAGCAAGACTGGTTTGTACTGCAACCACTAATATTTGTCTACAGACAAACCGGCCTCCACGCATCAACAGCTTAGACATGAATCAATAATGGATGCTTAACAGGAGTTCAGGGAGGTGATTGCTTACTAACAGCAACGATATGCTGTGTGTGATACTGAACTGAACACAAACCATCTCTAATCTGATGCAGACATAACAGCTGGTTTCCTAAATGGGCCTGAGATGATTGTTAATGGCGACTAAAGGCTAAAGACTGGAAGCTCTAAACGAAATGGCTCGCCTACGCTGGAGACCTAAAGATAACGTTATTTTTTTAAAGAAGGAAAGCTCTGCAGCACCTTAGTTGATACCACTGGGTTCTTTTCTGATATTTGAGGAAACCGTTTGGTTTTTATGTGCTGTAACAGATTGCAGAAGCATAAAGGACTAAAGTGTCACAGAGGCCTGGCTGCCCTTAAGCTGTCGCTTCCTGCCCTCCTGTCGTGCGACAGTTCTGTCTTGTAGCAGCAGGTAGTTTGGCACTGCCGGGTCACATTCACGGGCCCAGTCGGCCACAACCAAAGCTTCTCCGTGTGAGTGACCGGCTACGCTTTCTCAGGCTGGCCAAAGAGAACAGAGCAAGATCCTGGATTGTCTTCATCTGTGGCTCACTCCCCTGCTTTTGTTGAGTTTCTGGACAGAGCAACCCAAGTTGACTCTTAGAGGGGAGATGAGAGGGAGACGAGTGTGAGATAAAAAAGGAGGGAGAAGAGAAGTAGGAGGAGGAGAGTTGAGCCTGCCAAAACAATAAAAGGAGTAAATAGCCAGTGAGAATCAACAGATGAAGGTACCGGGCAGTCAAGAGTTCCTTTGGCCTTCGGGCCTCCATGCCTTTAGGTACTATCCAAGAAAGACTGAGAAAACAAACAAGTAAACAAACAACAAGAAAGAAGTTAACCATGTTAGCCAAGAGCCTGTCAAAAGCAGCTAGGTCTGAGCCAAAGCTCCCCACCTTCTTGTCTCAGAGCCTCCCCAGCTTCACTTCACACTCTTCCTCACACCACCTTCCAATCATCTCTCACTTAGGCTCCGGCAACGAAACACACGTCTGCGTGTGTGTACACAAACGCACAATCTATCATGCACCAACCTCTACAGTGGGTGTGTCTCCTGTGGAGCACCTGGCAAAGGTCCAGCCGGTGCCAGGCAAGCTCTTGTCCAGCACACCCACCCCTCTCACCAGACAAGCACCCACACTCCATTCTGCCACAATTACGCAGTCTTACACACCGAGTAAGAACTGGCTGAATACCCTCACTACGCCAAAGAGGACAAAAACAAGCAGAGAGAGGGACTGACCAAGCTTAAGGGAAGCAAACAGGTCCAGTATGTAGGGAGGGCTCGTGAAAAGATTCTTTTTTCCAACTTGGATGAGATATGGGCGTCATTTCTTTTGTGCACCTTTGTTTTTAAGGATATTTGAAAAAAGGAAGTTTACACAGCACTCGGCATCAGGAATGAAGCCAAATACTTAGGTCACCTTTCTGTTTTGTGTTTTTTAGCATCGTAACTGTAGGCGGCTGGACCAGAACCAAAACAGGACCGCACTCCCCAACCGTTCCACTTCAATCACGGCAGTTCATAAAACCCCAGCTTAACCTTATCTGTGGATTTTTACCCCTCGGTTTTGCTTGTGGTTCTGTGTTTCTCACCCGTACAAGAGAAGTCCGAGCGCTGCTGCCTCCCTTCACGGAGACACGGGGAGAGATACCGTCCCTGGATGCCAAAACTGGTGATGTTGGGTCGATTTCCAGACTGTTCTGTTAATTTCTTTCCAAAAATCACTTCTCTCCCTTTCCTCTTCCCCTTCCCTCCCTCTTGTTGTTCCTCTTTCTAGTTTCACACACACTGGCAGGGAGTCAGACACGAGTCATTGGAGGAGGCTGGCGCTTTATACTGGTGCCAACTACCCTCAGCTGAAAGGGAGGGAGGGTAGGGGCGAGGAAGAGTGGGGGCAAGGAAAGACTGGGGGTGGCGGGGACTAGTAAAAGGTTTGTAAAGAAATCTGACACTGAGATAAGTTTCTGGATTTCTAAAAGGAGAGCAGCTCCTGTCCAGAATGGGAAAACCGTCCAAACTTGGACTTTGGTGTGCTTTCAAGTCAAATCTACATCCCATACGTGCAGTGCCTTAGCAACAGAAACTGTTGCTATGCAGAGCACTACCTGCTTTATCATCAACTCTATTATCTCCATCCAGCAACATGGAGGCTCATCATCTCGGGGCCTGCTCCCAAATTCTTTAACAAGTTGGTCTGCGGAGAAAAGAGGGGGGAGAAACCAGTAGAACTAAAAAGTGAATGAAGTTCTTAGAGCTATTCTATAATCACGACAGACTTTAGTGTAAATCAGAAAACTACCAAAAGTTTTCTTTCAAACCACTTCTCTAAAGCCGCTCCAACACCTTGGCTGCATTTGTGTCCATTTAACTAATGTTTATTTAACGATGCCAATCGATCACCCATCTAGAGCTGTTCAATTAGGGAATACAACCATAACCACAATTGTTTAGGTCAGTACAGAAATTGTGATTATTTAACACAATTAAGTTGGGAAAAACACTAAATTTTGAACACTGAAAAAACACCAGGAAGGCCACAGAGTGGCTAATCAAATAGAGCTGAAAATGTCCATTCCAGTAAGCTTTAGTTGTATTTTTTGGATAATTAACTCCAGAAATACACATTTAGATCATCAAAAGGCTTCGTCTTGAGAGCACATTTTTATAGCAGATCTTTTCTGATCATGCAAAGCTTAAAATCATTCCAAGTATAACTTCTAAGATCAAAAATTTTATCGCAAGGAATTAATAAAGACCACCTTATAAATATCCATTATCAAGCAAATTGAAGATAAAATTATAAACAGACAACATGTAATTAAACCTAATCTAATTCATATGAACAGACTGCACCACTATAAAAGCAGAATAGTTTATCTTTTGACCCGCCTCCGATGCCACCAGTGTGTTTTGCCTTTTATCTGCCACCTTTACTTGCACTAACATGTAACATTTGGATGGGGATTGAGGGGAGTGCTTATCACTCAAAGGCAAGACAAAGCATGAGTAAGGCTACAAAAGAGTGGCTAACTTTAATACTAGTCTTCTTTTGTCAAGTACAATGGTTTGTGACCAGTTTGAGCCTAAATGAAATCCAGTCGTCCATCTAAATCCTTTTGACTTAGTCTTCTTTGTTGTCTGCTAAAACCACGATCAGCAGTGAGTGCATGCTCTCTCTGCGTGCTTACCTGTTGCTTTTTTTCTATTTCCTTTTAAATTTTCTCAAAGGCCAGGGCATCTTGAGATAGCAGGAAAACAAAAGAGAAATACTGCCAGCAGTACGTCTTTGCCATCAATCTGCTTTTAAGAGTTGCAGCAAAACATGTAACAGAAATTGATTTCAGTCAGCTGACCTCCCCCCCATCCCGTTTGGAAGAAATATTGGCAGTCCATCCGGCACTGACTCAAAATAATAGCTACTGTGCCCCTACCACGTAGCAATCTGCCACTGGATCATTCTCGCCAAGGTCAAAGAGTACATCACAGAGGCCGGAGTGAGGGAGGGACTAGGACAACATGGAGCTTCTTCAAAGAGGATAGAGGACTGCTGGCAACTTCTAAAATGAGTGACGCTTGTCACACAGAGAGCTACGAGCGTGCACACACAAGGCTGGGACTCCACTTGGCATATGTGAAGACAGTCCTTGCAATCCTTGAGTCACCCATGCTTACAGGGCCACTCTGACATACACACAGTAGAAAAAAAAGAGGAGATCCAGTCCCCATCTACATGGCCTCCCCCACTGTGAAAGGGGAGGAACAGATTTCTGCCATGCCGTGTCTCCGAGCTGCTTCGACAGACGGAGTAGGAACTTACGACGGGGCGGAGCCTTCATGCGCATAATGCCCAGATGGGCCCCTGGATGCTGCGGTAGCTCTTCCTCCTATGCACCAGCTCCCACAATGCACTTTGCGGAAGCTAATAACTGAGTGGGTGATGAGTGGGAGCATCAGGTTCATATCACAGTTGTAGCTTACACTGGCCCTCCTGTCCATAATATAGATATTAACAGGTGAATATTAGGACGCAAAAGGGACACTTGCAATCGTACTAAACCAAGCATCGCATCTCTAACGATGAGAGCTGAGATTTTAATCCACACAGATTTATGATGCCCTGATTTTAATCAACAGCTATTTAATAGAGCTGCACTACATATCCCAGAAGGCTTTTGCTGCCACTGCAGATTCTGAAGACAACTCTAGGATTTCATTACCAGCCGCAGATTAAATTACTAAAAAAAAATTAATAAAAGACGGGGAGAAACTAGTGGGTTGAATATTACACAAAATGTTCTTTAAGCAATTATTCAACCAGGGATGAAATTTGACAAAAAAAATTACTGAGTGAAATGATTCTGATGAAAATTTCTTTGTACTTAATCCAAATTCTGGTCACACTCAAAAGCTCTGTATTATCAGGAAGGTAAGCAATTAACTGCAAATTGAGCTACATGCTGCTGAATGGTCCTCTAGAGCCAGAGCTGTTCTTTATCTATTACCCTTACTGACCCTTTTATAAGGAGTAAAAACCAGTAATAAACAGCCCTGTTAAAAGTTTGCATCTTTTAAAATCATGTTGGGAATACAATCTTTGCTGCTGTGTGAAAACACAAGATTGGACTTAGACACTGATTAGTTTCAAGAGGTTAATTTTGATGACTGGACATTATTCAATGAGAAAATAAAATGAGTATATATGGAAGAAAACACTTTAGCATTACAGAAACCATTCAAAATACTTAAAGAGACAATGTGTAGTTTTTACCATTAATTTCTGGAAATACCCATCAAAATGTTGTTGAAAATGAATGAAATGATGCCCAGTTGTTGAAAAATATTGGCGGCTTTGTAACATATAACCATAAAAATCAGGTCTAAAATACACTGGAGCGGGTCTAAGTCTCTGGACGACACCATAGATGCCATGTTTCCTTCTACGGGAGCCTGTGAGGACAAAATGCATTTACTGATTTGTAACAAACGGTCAAGAAACTTTTGTCATTCTTAAATGTTGTTTTACACATTTATCTCCACTTGTTGCAAGTGATGAAAGGAAGTCTGATGTGCTTGTTATTTTTGCTGAAGTTTGCACTCCCCAGGGCTTTTTGACCCTAATGGGCATCCACTGGTAAGGTCTTACTCCAACACAAAAATACTGCTTGCTTGCAGTGATTTAGATATCCACTGCTCCCTATTGCCAGGAAAAATACAAACTGTCACTTTAATAAAAAAGATCACATTTGAAAAAAATATTTAAAAACAAATCACAATAAAAATTGACATCTGAACTTGTTCAGAGAATCAAAGTGCATTCTACTTTTGTACTTTTTTTATGTTTGCATTTCTGTAACTTGTTTCTTTGATGCAATGATTTGGCTATTGTAATTACCTGCTTTGTTGTTATTTTCAGGAAATTGTTAAAACAGTTTCAGTGACAGCGTTTAGTTCACAATTTGAAAAATGCAAAAGTTTTATTTTCTGTTGCATTTTGCACCTCAGAGCTTCCATACAGGGCCAACCTTCCAAATTACAGTCTGCAAAAACTGGTGTTTCTTTATAAATATATGTGGAAGATCACAAATATAGATTCAAATCTAAACATATATAGTTAAAATTGAATCTAAATACTTGTTTAGAAATTTAAATATGAATGAAATCATGTTTCTAAATATTCAAATCTTAAAGGCACAGTGTGTGATATTTTTACCCGTTTACTATCAAATCTTGTGTTTCCAGTTCACAAATGTCCTTTTTCACTAATATTTCTCACTAACGTCAATTCTAAATATTCCTCTCAACTTCAAATTATACATTTTTATATACATAAACTGTGGTCGACCCTCCATGGTCATCCACCATCTTAAAATACAGTAGCTGTTTAGGGACATTAGAGCTCCATGTTACCAGTTTGGACTATGACTGTAACCTGAAAGAACCAACAGAGGGCAGCAGTGCGGCCTGGAAGCATAGAGTCTGCTAATGGAAATAGAAAAGAATAGCTACACCATGTACTTGTTAGTTTGAATAAAAAAGTTAAATCAAAAGACACATAAAATTTGTCAGTTCGTCATCAGGTCCAACACAAGGAAGCCGCATATGTTCAGATTCCCCGCCCGCTACGCCAGCCTCTGGTTAGTGTGTCTCTGACTCCCAAACTCATCTCAAGTTGTTCATCCGTCTTTTCCTAGTACCAGAACTCCCGACCCGGTCCAAACGTGTCTGTTCCAAAGTACTTCTACTCAAGTCTCCTCTCTTCCTGCAGCCTGCTGTCTCACCCAACAGCGCGCCAGTGCTAATGTGCTAGCCAGTAGCGAAATCACAACATGCCCTTTAGGTTAGAAATTGTAAGTCGCTTTGGATAAAAGCGTCTGCTAAGTGAATAAACATATAAACATAAATCAGCATTGTTTACTTTATCTCCACAACACTTTACTAACGGCGATGTAGTTATTCACGCGTTACAGAGGCTACCTTTAGACTTGGGTCTCCTTTAGTAATCTGTGGGAGTTTACAGCATACACAGCGTCTCCTCGGCACTAGCCATGCTAGTAGCTCGGTAGCTCGTGACGCCGAAATCCACCATGCCAGCCATGAGCCATGATTAGCTGGTGGATAAGTCAACATTGTTTACTTGATGTCCACAGCGTGTCCCCGGCTCACCAACACTCCTTCACCAGTCGTAGTTGACGATCAGCCAGTGATCGCTCCATATCCATATAAGCCGGTAGATCGAGCGGTGCGCTCCGTGATCCACGTGAAACGGGTGTTGTGGGAAATTATGTCCCCCTGAAATATTCTGTTTCCCTTAGGCAGTCAAGAGCAAATACTTCCAAATCCACAGAACTTATTGTCCATTATGAGGACTAAACAACCTCAAATAAAAGATGGTTAAACTGAGAGAGATTACAACCTTTTACATAACTTTCAAAAATGAAAAATAAGCTTGCTGCAAAAGAGTTAACAAGAATGTTTTTACTGTATCTTTTTTATTGTTTTTAGGAGGAAATACAGATAAGAAATCACAAGCATAACATTATTACATTACATCCTTTTCCCGTAAAAGTTTATCACAAATGTTGTAAAAATAGCCAGAAGTGTGATCTCCCGACACGGGGGGACAGAATATTTCAGGGGAACACAATTTCTCCCAACACCTGACCTCCCGGCTGACGTCACCCCTCCTCCGTGTGTGAACCGTGACCGCTTCAATAACATAACTAGCTTGCTTCCTTCAGGACTGGTAGGTTGATAAAAGTAATAATTATAAACACTTTTTTAAAGAGGTCGAGTAGCTTGTTTTAAGCTTTGTGTGGGTTAGGTTGGAAATCCATTATAGAGTCAAACTCATGAGTGAGCCACCGTAGCTGCAATACTTTCTCTGAACTGCATGGCGCTAAAAAGTCACATTTTTTTCATCATGATTTCAATGGATTTCACACACGGGGCCTTTAATATAAATAAGGTGGTTTTAAACTTCTTGCCAAATAAGAGCAGCTTACCAAAAAAAGGGTAGGGCAAAAAGATCTCCCATATACCACCTCAAAGTCTCCTTGATATTGTGATTTTAATCATAGATCAGCACCAATGGACTCCTGGAATTGTATTATCTGACTCAATCCCACACACTTAATATGTTTGGGTAATTTCATGTCATTTGCAGGTTTGCTTGGTATTTCATTTAAACTCACACAATCATACCGTAAATCCTCTAATACAGGCCCGGGCCTGTATTTGACTCAAGCTCATCAAGCTCCAGGTCTTTATTGGAAGGAGGGCCTTTCCCCCCTCCCCCTGCGCAACGCCGCAAACTCACTGGTGTGCCTGCAGCCTCTCGGAGTTCCTGCTGCTCTAAACATTAAAAAAATTATTTCATTTTCTGTTCCTCACTTCTGATTACATTCAATGGTGTCTGTTTGTTGCAACCAGGTACAAAAACTAACTTGTTTTTATTTGACTATTTTTCTGTCCTGCCTGTTTATTATCTTCCTGCATCTCCTCTCAATCCTAAAGAAAAACTGCTACCTGGGTTCATAAATATTGACCTTATGAGTTACCTTTGAACTGCAGTTCTAAAAGATCTACCGACCTCAAAAACAGCGGAGTGCTCGCTGCTTGGTGGCCGCATCAGTGATCGGTGCGTCGGAGGACAAAGTGATGCGCCCCACTCCACAGCAGCGAAACGCATCAGGCGCAAATAAATGACAGAAAACATTAAAGGAAATGAACTGACATGAACGATCGCGTGTCAGTACCGACGCTCTGGCACAGCGTGTTGCCCCCCCGACGTGCAGGAGCTTGTCACCTGCTGACAGCAGGCTGCTGTCTTTTCCGTGGACTGCATCTTGCCGGTCATTATCACGTGACAGCGACTAGTCGACGACAGGCATAAAAAGTCACTATGATGAAGTCGACAAGTTCATACAACCCCTGCTACTGCTCCCCAGTGTTCTGCAGCATAATCAGCACGTTCTCTTTGAACTTGATATCAAATTTTCGCCTCCTCTTCGTCTCCACGGTTAAAGTTACCCTCGCGGTCTGTCACTGGCAAATCAAAAGTGAGACGATGACACAACCGTCCCCCGTACTTGCTTGTTACCACATTCCATCCGGCCACAATAAAAACCCGTCCATTATTCACCTCCACCGACTCCGACACCAGCCAAAATATGACACCCGGCAGTTAATTGAATACAGGCCAATATTAGAGGATTTACGGTTTTTAGATTCCAACACATGTCCGCATATATGTAGACTTGATTCTATTTACTTTAACGTTATTTGGATGTAAGATCAAACATTTCGACATACAATTATATGATCCCAAAGTGAATTTAAAAGTTTCACACTCCATAGGTGAGCTAAAAGGATAAAATGTAGCTGTTGCAAAACGAAAAAAAAAAACAACAACAAACAAATGCATTACTTTACAAATCAGCACCCCATACTTCACAAACCTTTCTGCAGGAAATGAATGCTGCAACAGTTTAAAATTTGGTCTGTTGCAAGACATTGGCAAAATTTCCACTTGTGGTGCAATTTTCTACTTAAAACCGTTTTCTTTAATCTGAAAACATCTAGGAAATCATCCGAGTAGCTTGATTAGCACATCTTGTAGAAAATGCTTCTAAAAGTCCAATTGTTTCCATTCATTCTGTCAAAACCACAGAAACAAACTAATATGAATAAAATGTAATATGCTTCTGATTATGGTTGTGTTTTCCTTCCGGCTTTTCCACCAGCTGGAAACGAGGAAGCCCTCGTGCGTTTCCCACGAACCGGAAGCAGGTGTGTTTAAACCAGAGTCTCCGTGCAGAACACGAGCGTTTCTCAAACTTGCCACGGCGTTATTTACCTGCCACGACCACGTTCTCCTGCCTCCCCTTCAGAGCGCGCTCTTTGCTCGGCAGCTGAGTCTTATCTGTCATCGTTTCAGCCGACAGGTGAGGAAGGGGACAAGCGGGCGCGCTCCGCCCGTGTGGTGTGTGTGTACGGAGGAAACAACTTTATCTGTCGCTTCCGGGATGTCTCCATACCGACGCTGTGTTACGTTACCGAGAGGAAGGGAGGCGGTGGGACGGAGCGAAGCGGGAAATAAAATAAAAAAAATCGCCATCGATATGAATATTCATAGCACGTGGGCAACGTCGTGCGCTGCATATTAACTAGTCAAGGGGTTAATATGACTTTGGCACAAAAGCCTGCAGAGCACCGTGTGCGGGAACGAAATTACATTTAAATAAATATCCACTGCATTCAGCATGCAAATGAGCAATCACCAATTATCAGCTGTTATTTGGGGGGGGGGGCTGGACCAGGTGGGAGGTATAGATGGCATTGCTGCCATTTTCCTCTTACTGTATAGATTTGTTTTTTTTTTATGTTTATAAAGCAAGAGGCTGATGTAAAACAATTTTTTAAAATGTATCACATAAGTCTTATAAAGTCGTACGAACCCCAACGTGCTTTACACGTGTTTCACTTTAGTTAAAGCTAAGGACAATTTAACAATAGAATAAGATTAAAGAGACAGTGTGTAGTTTTTATCGTTAATCTCTGGAGGTGTGCACGGTTCGATCTGCAGCTTTCGGTGTCTGCTGGGGGTGGGGTGGGGGGGGGGGGGCACACAGATCAGGCTGGCAGGCTTATAAAGCTCTGCGGGAAACCCTGATGATGTCCAGTTGTTATAAAATATTGGCGGCTTCATAACGTATGACCATAAAAATCAGGTCTTAAGTACATAGGTCTAGTGTCTTTGGGGGGGACACCATATTAGATGCCATTTCCTTTTTTTTCTGGTCAGCTCGGGGTCCTGCGCCAGTTGATGACTTCACTGGCTGGCTGGATGTATGGCTTACGGAAGTTACGTTACCACATTCAAAAACATTTTGACAGTAATAAACACAAATTTAATAACAAAACTGCTAAACTCTTAGCAAAACCGACATGAAAGAACAGAATCCAAAAAGACTACACACTGCCACTTTAAACAGCTGCTTAATCCCAAATACTATTTGTGCAAATTTCCAATTAAGAAATATTAGTTTTGTTGCGACTTTCCAATTTATTTCATCTTAATTTTACACTTAATATTTGCCCTCTCCCTATGATTGGAGAT